TACCATGGGGGACATTTTGGTGTGTTAGTGATGTCACTTGAGCCACAAAAACAACCGGCTGCTTACAGGACTGGAGTGCTCCAGTACTTGAAAACTGAACTCCTCTGAAATGACACCCACTTCCAAGAACCCTGAGCTTGTACAAACACCTCAAAAGAGCAGGCTGGAGCACAAGGAATTGATTTTCTTTCCATTCCCCAAGGTCTTTATGGGGGCATTACAATGAATACGAGAGCAAAGCAACTTTTCTTCTCTCCACCCTTGTCCAGGCAGCCTTAGTGGCAATTCCAGGTGTGCCATCAGTTGTTCCCCACTCATTGTCCTTATGCCATGCTTCTACATAGTGGTATTAGTCTGAAAACTGTTTTAGGAAGCAGCAGCAGCAGATCTTCAGTTAGAAGAGGGTTTTTCAAAGGCTGCGCCTGAAAAATGAGCAGGGGTGGGTTTTTTAATATGCCTAGTTTAACTACAGACACTGATTTTTTTTCCCTGTTACTTCTACCTTTGATTGGAATATCTTAAAACTATGTTTTAATATCTTGGGGCTTTAATTCCAAACTTTCTGGTGATACAAAAGTATATTTCCTTTTCATGAATTTCAGAGTTATGGCTGGCTGATGTCATTACAGCCTGCTTTTCTTGACTTACAGGACACACAAATACAAAAAAAAAATGTTTTCACCGAAAATGTTCGTTACCTGTGTTACCTGTTGTGTTTATGATTAACAAACTGAACAAGAGATGTTTGCTCCTTAATTATTCCTGAGAATTTACAAACACCTTCTCTGTGTCACAGTGTAACAAATAATTTACTTTTTGTCCATTGTGCATTTTTCTGGTGTATGTGTCTTGAATGTAATTTTATTAATCCTCTGCCTAGTTTAATGTTAATAGATATAGAAGTCTCTCCAAATGATGTACATATTTGTGCTTCCTGCTTTTCTAGGCTTTGTTTTGGGGCAACAAGGGGTCTTTCAGAGTCTGCATTTGATTAGAAATATTCATAAAATACCAAAACGCTTCTTTTGAAACTCAGGTGTAGTCTTTGTGTAATTGACTATGATGACCTAGGAGAGCACAGAGAAAGTCTTTGTCCTGCTGCAGTCTGTGCTACCTCTTGGGCAGTGTTTATAGCAGGTCCATTGGCACATGCTTAAAGAATATGGATATTAATTATAGTGTTCTTGCAAAACTCAGGCTACTTTTTGGCTATGAAAGGCTACATTTACTGCTACAACTGGGTAGCATTCTTTTCTTTGTCCTCAGTAGCATTTGCTTTGATACAGCTGTTCATTTTTTCTAAGTGAGCAACAGTGATCTTCAGTGCAATCTGCTGTTCACCTTCACCCAGATATAGTATTTAAGGTGATATCTTGACCTCATGGAAGAGGTTTCCTCCCTCCTCACCTTATTAATAGGTACCTCTAGATCCTTATGCGTGAGGTGCTGCAAAAATGGTCAAGGTTCATTAAAATAATTCTGTAGAAAACTGCCTAAATGTTCAGTGTTAGTACTTCTCTTGAGGATAACCATGCCCCATTGTAGTGTTCCCTTTCCTTGCTTGTTTCCAGGTTGACGTGGTTTCTGGTAGCTGTTCCTTTCTTCTTCCGGGCATCCACACCTGTCTATAGATTTACATATGTAAAAGTGGTTTTGCTGAAGTTAAGAGAATATGATGGCACATAACAGAACAATGTGTTACTGACTTCAGAGCTTGAGTTTGTTCACAAATGAGGAACATTGCTATAAACTGTGTGGTGACTTCAGGGCTGAGTCTTGCAAATACTTGTACAAGTCAACAGTGTACGAGAGGAATGCCACTTAAATTAATGTTCTCAGGATCAGGACTCGGGCTGTTGATACTAATTTGAAACAATGAAGATTTGTGTAATTGAAGTGGCTTTCTAATTAAAAATAAATAAGAAAATTTAAAGTTCATGTGCTTTAATTGGAGCATTATGTTGCCTTAAAAGTCCTCAGAAATCAGCATAATGAACTTGTTTGCTTCTTAAATCTGGAGGGGTTTTCATGTAGCACTAGAAGGATTGATGAGTGTATGATAATTCTGGCACTGTCCTTCTGGTGTTAATTGCTTCATTGATTTTTTTTTTCCTTTGAATTGAATACTGCCAAGTGGTGTTGGACACAGTCCTTTGAAACCCGTGCCCTCTGCAGGTCACATCAGGCAGGGATTGTCCTCAGGGACCTGCAGGCTGGCTCACCTCACATGGCAGGTGTGCTGACCCTGCCTGGTGTGTGATGAGTTTGTCATGTGGGTGGAAATCAAGTCCCTTTGTTCCCAAGGTCAGGTATGGGACAGCTCTTCCTGCTGAGCTGCTCAGTGTTGCACCTGGCAAAAGCGTGGGAAAGTAAGTGGTCTTGTAGTGCCTTTCCTCTGAGGTGGCATCCTTTGAATCTACTAAACCTGTAATGGCAGAGTGAGAAGGTATTTTTTAATGAGATTACCTGGTGATATTTTAAATTTATTTTTTTAAGTCTTCTGATACTTGTCTTGTTTCTGGTCTGTTACCTGTGTATTTGACTTGTGTATCCTCTTGTTTTCCTTTTTGCTTTCCGTGGTTGACAAATAAAACTATGTCAAAACTACATGTTGACATTTTTAAGGGACTGGTTTGGTTTCACATAGTATGGAGCTCAGTTTGTGACTGGAGTCCCAAGGTCCATTTCTCACATGCCTAGAGAGGTGCACCCTCAGAGAGCTGCTCTTGGGAGCTCAAGAAGAATTTTAGCATATGAACAGCTTTTGGTTTGGGTTTTTTCCTGCTATATAAACCTCCCAAAAGCTAATTCTCGGATTATTCTTGACAGCCAAAATAGCTCTTGTAAACAGGTCTATAAGACCCAAGGCTTTTACCTTCAAATTTCTTCAGCGTTCCATGATGTTTTATATGCATTTGTAAGATATTCAGGAAAATGAAAAAACCCAGTTTGTTACCAAGCTGTTCCAGAGCAGGAAAGTGCTTGGGGACCCGTCCTGCTTGGCTCGTTAGCTTTCTTATTAAGTAATAAATGAGGCTCCAGATGGCCAGATTTTGCTGGAACTGAGATAATTTTCATTCAGATTAAGAATTTATTTTAAAACTTCAGCTGAGAAGAAATCTGTGTGTTGTACTTTCTCACTGCTTACCATTTGCCATGATGGGCTATTCACAGGAGATGAGTAGTTAATTAAGTAGCTCAAAATCGCAAAATGTGTCAGCGTGCACTGCATATTTGACAGTTGCTGCCTGTAGAAGATAAAGCAAACAGTTGTAGCAGCAGTATAATGAAGACTTATGGCTTTAGGATACAGACATATGTGGGAGAACAATTTGTAATAAGGGATGAGTTTCTTGTTATACAATTCATGCCTTTTTTAGATGCTGTAGACTTACTCAGTACTTCAATTTGTTGTTTTCAGTGGAAAGAAGTCTTGCAGTAAACAGTTTTTAAATGAAGCGAGACATATAAAACATGTCAGGCATACTTGATAGGAAAAAAGAAACTTTTGTAAAATGTCAGATCAGTTTATAGTCATGATCTAACTCAGAGGCTGTTTTTACTTGAAGTTGTTGTACTATCTTGTCTGGGAGTTGCATGGAATGTAGTAAATAATGCCTGCTGTGTGTTGTCTAAGAGCAGCAGCCATTTAGAAATGGTGCCACAGCAATCCTGAAGTCCTTTTCTGTCCTAGTGACTTGCTTAATTTTTGTATTTCTTTGGCCCAAGTTACTCCCCTCATGGGTCTCCTAGTCCTAAGGCAGTAGGCACATCACTGTGCTTCTGCCAGTGTGCAGCTGCAGCCAGCATTTGAACATTGTAAAACGATTTTCTGTTTTGCTCTGCCACTGTGGATTCTTTTCATGTATTTAATAAATGTGCAGGTACCTGCAATACACTGATTTAAAAGATCATTTTCAGAAAACTTCAGTTCTTCCCATTTTCACGGTCCCACGTCGATGGTTTGGTATTTGGAAGCTTTCAGAGGAGTTTCATTGCAGTGCTTGTGGTTGTGGGAGCTGATGCAATGTTATGCCATGAGAGCTGTCCTGGCAGACTTGGGACTGTGGGTGTGCATGGCTGCCCCAGAGCACCTTCCTTGCCTGATCCAGTTGGCTCTTCACCCTTTGGTTAATAAATCTCTTTATGGACATGGAATATGGGGTCCTTAGGGTGGTGGAGGTTCAACACTTCAGGCATGGTCAGATTTGCACTGAGGTAAGGTGGCTCTCTCTGTGTGTGCTGGGTGTGAGTCACAGCTGTGAGGTAGTTTCTCTCTGTTGTTGCACTAAAGGTCAATTTTCCCCCCCAGGGAAACAAATCTTCCTTCTTGGTTTTCAGAGCTGGATGTCCCTTCAGTGAATGGGTGTCTGTGGTCAGTGTGAGGCAGCACTTCAAAACTGCCTGTGTAAAACCACCGAGTCCTGCATGTTGTAATGGACAAGGCTGCCACTCACAAACTATTTCATAAGTAGCCATTTGTGATGGGTGAAGAGGCTGGAGTTCTGCTTTCTTCTGGTCTTTTGAAACGAATTTTGTCTTGCTGTTAGTGCTCAAATACATAATCTGAACTTTTGGGTTCTTGGTAAACAGTTGAGTAAGACATGCAAGATGTCTCGGGTAGTTCTCTGTGGGTACAATTTCATTCAGGTCAGAATGGCTGGAGTCAAGTTCTGTTGATGGCATGGTACCACCATGGCCCATTGCATAATGGCTGGGTTTTAATTGGCTCCTGTGTGGTTTAGCTCTACATCCTTAATGAAAAATTGATTTGACTTCCCAAAGTGGAAATTTAAAGGTGTCAGAATAGAGGTGTTTGACCTTGCAGCTTTATTTTTTCTTCCATTTCTTTAAAATATACAGACTGTGAGCTTGTGTCTAACAGTTCTTCATGTTCTCTCTGTGGCTGTGGTACCAGGTTTGTGCTGTGGGGCCATTTGAAGAAAAGGTTCTCTTGAGGAGGAAAAAGGAAATTAAAACAAACCACCCAAGATTTGTGATGCTGTTTGAATTATATTTAATTTGGAACCAGCTATTCTAGAGGCATTTCGTTAATTCTTATACAGGATATGGTTTTATGCAGTTTTGTTTGCATATGAACAGTATGAATATTTAAAATGTTAGGTTGTTCCTTTTCTGGAATAAAGGCACTCATTTGGGAGAGGCCTTTTAGATAACCAAGGGGGAACAAATGAAAATTTCCCCCAAGGTACAGTTTCCCATTTTGTTTTGGCATTTGGCTTTTAATGACATGCTACAGAAGTGCAAGCTCAGGACACTGCTAAAAATGAAGCTCATTAACTTTAAAACTGATGATGATATAAACTATCTTAAATATGGCCAAGTAGCAAAGTAACTGGATCCCTACTGGTTAATGTGTTAGTTTTGAAATAAAAGAGCTGGAGCCCAGTATGGTGTGTAGAACATTAAAATAGCATCCCCTGTTGGTAATCAGAACTGGTCACTTGTAAAGAGCAGGCTATAATTAATCTGCTCTTACTGCACAGATGATGCCTTTGCAGTTCACAGTCACTTCATTTTATGGAAAACCAGTGCTTGTAGAGAAATATAATTAGAGAATCACAATAATATGGTAAAAAAAAAATACCACAAAATGTGTTGAAGAGGACATAACTTATTCTATCAAAGCTGTTTCTAGAATTTGAAGTATGTGTGAGACTTGATGTGCACATGCAGCCTGGTTGGTGCCACCAGGGAGGATTTTCCCTTTGAGTGTTCCTGCTGTCATGTGCTTAGGCACAGGAATAATTGAGATAATGGAACATTTTTGTCTTGACTAATTCTGTTAAACATTTTAAAAATTAAATTGTATTTGTGTGAAAGGCAGAACTGCCTCACCTGGCTCAGAACTTGCAGTTCCTCATTCCTTGTTGAAGCAGGGATTGATGCTGTTGAAGAGTATCCAAAAGAAGATGGAGATAGCAGATGTGAAAGAACTGTTGGAACTGGCCATGAGTAACTGCTGGGGCAGGGGAGTTCAGGTCTCATATTTGAGGAACTGGTTGTAACATGGGAGCCTGCTGCATTCCGCTGGGAAATCCGGTGCTTGTCCTGGGAAGCACCTCCATTTTGCTGGAGTCTCAGTCCCACATTCCCCACTTATGCATGTCCAAAGGCTTTCAGTTATTTTTATATTGGGCTGTATCTGTCTCTCCTCCCCTCAGGAAAAGCCAGGAGGCAGTGGCCTTGATTTCCATTTGGATTAGAAATGTCGATGCTGCCCTTCCGTACACCAGGAAAGGGCCTTTCTTATAGAAAGAAAAGGACAGAAAACACCTGTGTGTGTGTGCTTGTGGAACACACATTGTGTTTTGAGAGGACAGCGAGCTCTTGTCAAAATCCAATCAGAAGAGGAGTTCTTAAGATGGTTTGGTTCTTGAAAGGGCCTCCATGCAAGAGACAAAGCCCTGGCTCCATTTTCTGCCTCACTTTCAGCTCTGTTTGATGAGAAGGTCGGGGAGTTATGTGGTATCACACAGGAGACTTCCCATGATGGTTTGGTACCCTTTTGCATGCAAATTTACTGTAGCATCAAACCCTTCCTTCCTGCTGAGCCAACAGGCCTGGTGTTAATTCAGGGACTGCCTTGTTCCTGAAGGGTTTGCCCTGAACCAAAACAAGGGTCTCCTCTGGTCTGGGCTGCACATCATCAGCTCACTCCCAGGGATGTTCCTTACACATCTCCCAAGAGGTACCAAGGCACTGCTGAAACAGACCCAAATCCACCTCAGGTCGTACAGGTAACCGTGTATTATCTGGGAACATTTTGGTGCCGACTCTGTGCCATTAAATGGTTTTTCTCCTATGCTCAATGAATATTTGCATATTGGAAATTTGCTTATTCCATAATTAAAAATGTCCCAGCTAGGAAGTCTTGAGCCTCCATTTGCTGTTTCAGCTTCTCCCTGCCTGAGGCAGGATTGTTGAAGAAATAATCTTTAGAGCTGCTGCAGGTACTGACTTCTTACAGAAAGGTCAAATGGGAAAGAGCAAAGCAAGAATATTGGTACACCAGACTGACTTGGTTCAGGGAAGAGTCAAGTCCAAAAGCCAGTGTCAGGATTTGTCCCTGTGGCTCATGTTTGCTGCTGCAGTTTTCCATCTGGCACTGCCAAATATCATCTTGGCACCCACAAGAGCAACTCAGTTGCTGCTGGGGATGTTTTTCAGCAGTGGAACCAGAATGGCTGCAAAAGCACCATTTCTTTCTTGCACTTTGAAGTAAGAATTAAAATATTGGCTCCTGATTCCACTGTGTTGGGACAGGGAAAAGAAGGTATCACACTGCTGATGTCATGCTGCAACTTTCCAGCTGGGACAAGCACTTCCTCACCTTCACCCCCACTGTTCTGGCTGTAAGGTAAAGGCAAGGAGAGGTGATCCTCTTAGTGCAGAGCAGCAGAACTCAAGCAGCAGCCTTTTGGGCATGTTGGCAGAGCTGCTCTTGTGGCTTTGTAGGGGTGTAAAGCCCTGGGCTACCAAGGATGGGGATGACAGACACTGTGCCACCACTGAGGTTTCCTCTGCAGGTTGTGTTCATGTGTCCAAAGATGCTGTAAAATGAAGGGGAGAGGCACCTGTGTCTCTCATACACTTTATTGTTCATGTGGAGCTTGGCTGATAAATAGGACTGAATTAAAGCAATACTTGTGAAAAGGAAAACCCAAAAGTGCAAAATTGCCTCCCACATGTCCAGACACCATGAGGTTCTGGTTTGCTGGAGACAGCACATGAATGTACCAGCAGGGCAAAGGCTTCAGCTTAGTGATACCCCAAATGCAAACAGGACAATATGGTACAGAATATGGCTTTGTTGCTGGGTTGCCACGTGTGTGACCCTGAGAAACAGCTTCTGTTAACAGGTCACTGGTGAGTTTTTCTCTAGTTCCCATGTACAAGTTGTGGTGCTGTCTCCATTCAAACCACTGAGCAAGGGTTGTTGAACAGTAAGTGCTAGGAAAGTAAAATGAACAAAAAACAACAGTAAAAGCCAAGAACAAATCCCTGCCCACCTCCACTGCATTTGGATATGGCTCTTACAACAGCACCAGTAGAAGCAGGCAGTTCCTACGGTGGTGTGTGATGAGAAGACTTAAGACTTGCAAAGGACCAGAAAAACTAACAAGTGCATCCCAGGTATGAAATTACAGTAACAGGTTGCCTAAGGCTGAGAAAGGTCTTAATTGCATCATCCCATCAGGCACACAGCTGGTGGCAGCTGAAATATCTGTGACTGTCCCTTTACATATTCCACCCTATTTCCTGCTCACCTGTGTTTGCAGCTCTGTGAAGGAACTGGCTTGACCCCAGAAGACAAAGTGCATGAGATGCTGTGTACTTGGCCTTGTGGTGGTGTGAGAAGTGTCTGGCAATGTGTTGCCAAAGAAAAATCAGTTACCTCATACTGGAGGAGGGATGAAAACTGTAGGGACTGAGAAGAGTGTGGAGCTAATTTGGTGCCTGGTACTAAGGTCTGTCATTTACTTGCCCAGAAGAGTATCTGGCAAGGTGTCTACTGACCAACCAGGTCACCCAGCAAGTAAGGACAGCAGTCGGGGGGTCCTGCTGCAAGCAAGCACAACCACCTCACATACTCGGGCATCTTGGTCCCTCTTTTTTTTTCCTAGAGAGATGTGGAGTTCTCCCTCCCCCAGCATTTCCTGTGCTGCCTTTGCAGGAAACCAGCAAATGTTGACTGGTGCTGCCCACGGCAGCCAGCATGTCCTGGTGGGTTTGCAGTTCCAGGCAGTGGTGGCACAGAGTGCTGCTGTGGCTGCCTGTGAGACAGGGACAGTGGGCAGCCTTTACCTGCTGGCCTGGCACCAAAGCTTCTGCTGGGCTGCAGAGCCTCAAACGTGCCTGTGCAGCGAGGCAGCTGTGCCAGGCAAACCTGGCAGCCAAATGGCATCAGCAGCACAGCCCCACCACAACGCTGGGGTTTCCTGCAGCTGTGGGGCGGAGCAGCCCCAGGGCTCAGGAATCCTGCCAGCTCCTGCAGCCACCTCAGCAGGTGTCAGCTGAGGGACTGAACAACGTGGAAACAGATGCCAAGCGGAGCTGGCTTTGCCAACTAGGAAGATCAGCACTGAGGGGAGAGCTTCACTTGTGTCATGTGTCATACACGTGTCATGGACACACAAAGAAAACAGTTGTGCCTAATCCTGTTCAAAAAGTTTCCTTTTCTTTTTTTCCTCCGTATTAGTGTAGAGAAATAGCCTTGAGATCCTCTGCAGGGGCAGTGTGTCTGTAAACACCTCTTGTTTACAGTTTGATGAAAAGTTTGTACTGGCCGAGTGTCATATGACAAGAGCAGTTTGCTCATCATTTGCTGATATATAGCTGGGAGCAGCAGGTTTTCCTAAGATGCCACATCCCAAGGCCTTGAGATATTTTTATAAATCACCAGTAAAAAACATCAGCATCTTCAAACTCTCTTATTTCCTACACCACCACATTCCAGCTATGGCTGTATTTTCATTTACTTTCTTGCCTTCAAAGTGCAAAGCCAGGGAGCAAACCAGAAGTGATTAGGCAGCTGTACAGGCACTAGGAACATGGAGAGTGATTTGATAAAGCAAAAAGCCTGACTCCTTATATATACCCCACACAGAGGCTTGGTCAACAAGCAGCACTGAATGTTAAATGGATTTCCACCAACTTGCTTGGAGAGCTCTTCATTTCAGTGCATGATTTGGGCTCTGGGACAGATATTATTCAAAAGGAAAAAAACCTCAACTTTATTCCCAGTTTCTCAATATACTTGCTGCAGCAATGCCATTCCTTCATGTGCCAGAAGAGCTCAAGGTCAGCAGGGTACAACTGCATCTTCTCTCTGCAGGCTGCAGCCAGCACTTCCCTGTGTGCTGGGTCTGGATCAGGAGCCAGCTGGGCTCCTCCTGCCAGCCCCTTTCAGTGCAGAGCTCCCACGGGCCTGGCCTGGAGCAGCAGCTGGAAAGCAGCAAGACAGGGGCAGGAACTTGCACATGGTGTGTTTTTCTGTCAGTCCCTGGGGCTGTGCTGGGCCTCCAGCACTGAGGGAGTGGGGATGGGATAAGCTCTTCCTGAGATCTCCCTTGCTGTGCTCCAGTTCATTTTTGACATCTCCCAGAGCACGATCCTTGCTGCCAGAGATACCCCTGGTGTTCCTCACGCTTCTCCCCATCCAGTGGTTGAGTTCATAGCTTGTTCTTCTGTCTCACGGTTAAAAAAATATATATTTTATTTTTCATCCTCGTCTCCCTCGCTCATGCTGCTGAGGGAGGCAGAGGCAGCTTTTGGAGAAGAGGGAGGGGAGGTCTTATTGATGACCCAGGGTGGAGATGGAGAACGGGACGGAGAGCGGCCTCGTGTAGGACTGCTGTTTGGGCTCTGCCGGGGAGAAAAAGCCTGGAGCATTCGGCCGCTTCGTTCCTGGAACATCTGCTTCTGCAAAAGCAAAGTGAAAAGATGCTCTTTGAGTACTGCACAGAGGGGAAAGCTGGGGCAGGCAGGGGTTGCACTGTGCCTCCCACGGGGGAGTGAGCAGGGAGCCAGAGCCCTGGAGCATGACTGGTTTGCCTCTGCTGTGCTCATGATAACCTGGTCCTTGCATGCCAGTTTTTACCTCAGCTGGGCCACCCCCACTGTGAGAACACCATGTGTACTGGCCTGAGCCACACATGGGGGACTCCCTTTGTGGTTTTTGCACGTACTGGTCACGATGTTGTCTTCAAAGGTCACTTTTCTGCCTGAAAATATTCCTAGTTCAAATATTCCACCCAATATTCCTAGTTCCCACAGCCTTTTCCTTCTAGAATGTTAGGAAGGACCATCCCTCTCCTCCTGAGCTTCCTAGCTTTCCCAGCCTTTCTTCCTCTGTCCCTTCTTAAGGGAGACAGCCTAGTACCTGCCAAGTACTGGCAGCCACTTCCCCAGCTCCATGCAGCAGGCACGACCCAAACCCATAAATTGAGGGTGGAAATGTCAGAATTTGGGTGTCTGTTGAAAAGAGAAAACACTTGCAGGCTCTGTGTTTTGCTTGGAGCTTTATTGTCACTTTTGCTTTATAAAGCTGAGTGGAGGCCTGCTAGAGTTGATGGGGTGGAGAGACACCTCTGCAGCCAAGCAATCTGCTACACTAAGGCAAGTGCCTCTACTCATTAGCAGCAATGTGGCCTTGCATCACGCTGGGTTACGGAAGACATGGTGTGTGCTGTGCAGCTGCTGCAGGCTTCACATGGAAAGTGCCAAACCCGAGTGCCCTGCTGCTCCTCCTGGGCATGGGGAGCAAGAAGCCTCAACCTTGGCTGAAGTACTGGCAGTTGAGTCACAGGCGATGCTCGGCTGAAAGGAAGATCCAGTCCCGACAAAAACGTTAAGTTACCACTCAGGACTGAGAAGAAAATCTTGTGCAGAATGCATGGGTTTGCCTGTTTTAGCTGAGATGCAGCTTGCAGTTGCCCAGTTTTCATCTTGTTCCTATTCCCCTTCCCTCTGCAGTGATTCTGCCCTGTGCTGACACAGTATCTGGCTGCTGATCTTGCTCCTCCTCCTCTTTGAAACTCGGTATTCCCTGCCAGTGGAGAGGCAGATGCTGGTTTCCCCCTCAGGGTTCTGGGTGTTTGCTAAATCCCAGGGCATAAAAATCAAGCACAAATACTGAACTTAGCTGTTCCTCTGAGAGCTCCCTCTCCTAATTTACAAACTCATCATGTTAACCTTTACTGACTCACTTTTAGAGCCTGGATGTCACCACAGTGCAGAGTGGCAGAACAGTTCCTGCCTGGAGCTACACTTCCCAAGGCTCTTGAGCATAAAACCCCAAGGTGTGTAACCTACCCCTCCACTACTAGTAGGTCCACATTAGTCAAGGCTTCCTAAAATCTCGATAGTTAGCAGATGGTGGTTGCTCCTGATAAATGGTGCCAGGAAGCATTCAGGTAGGGGAGGATTTCGGCAGCTGAGAGCTGCAAGGATGTCACCAGGGCTGGCAAAGCCCCAGAGCTTGTTTGCAATTCAGTGGTAGAGGTGCAAAACTTCCCTTTAGATCATGGAAATGTGAGGTTCTCTTAGCTTGTTTCACTCTCACTGAAGATAATCCAAAAAAAAAAAAAAAAAAAAAAAAAAAAAAAAAAAAAAAAAAAAAAAAAAAAAAAAAAAAAAAAAAAAAAAAAAAAAAAAAAAAAAGTTTGATATGAAATATCTTTTCCCTGGCCAATCAAAAGACTTTGACTTCCTTCTGTTGTCACTTCTAACAACTCAGTGGCACAGTGGTGCTTTGTGGTGGTGTGGTGGCAGTGCTGGAGGACATCCAAGTGCCCCAGCCTGGCTTGGCCTGCACTATCCCATGTGGCAGGGAGTACTTGACTGTGCCTTAGCCACAGAGACTAGAGATGGAAAGGAGAATCCCACCTTCCTGCTAATAGCAGGCTGTAGGACACCTGCTTCCTAGGCCTTCAGTGAAGAGTTTGTTGCTGGAACAAACTGATGCACTCACACCTCCAGCAAGGCAAGTGCACAGCCCCTCCACGTTGCCTCCTGCATTAGTGCTGAAACCACCAGGCTGCTGGCTAAAGCCACAGCTCTGCAGGAGGAGGAGGTGGTGTCACTCACCTGCCTCAGAACACCTCTTCTCTCCAGCTGTGCCCTAGCAGGATCAGTAAGCCATGCCCTTTGCAGGCAAGGAGCTTCTTGGGCCATTGGGTGCTGAAGAAGTAGAACAAGTGTTAATGGCTTCCTTGGAGTGTTGGAGGATTAGACAAGGCTGGATGCACCGTGGTCCTTTACCAGAGCTAGGGAAATAATTTCAAAGCCTTGACTCAAGCAAGTTTAGGTACACCCAATCAGTTTAGGGTTTGTTTTAGGCAAACTTGCTACTGGGAAAAAATATTTTGCCTGTTCTGAATTTTACTGCCTGTATGTTGATACTCCTTTGCTTTACAAAGCAAGTGCCAGTTGGGTGTCTGCTTTTGAGCTGCCGATTGTTCCAAGGCCATTTTAGGTCCAGGCTGCAGACAGGTGGTGTGGCCTAAACACCATCTCCAGGTTCCAGTTGCAACCTGTCTTACCTGAGCCCCTGATGATGTCTGAGGTGCATCAGCTGTTTGGAAGGCAACATTCCCCAAGTATCCCTGTGTGCTGAGCAGGGGGAAGCCAGCCCCTTGAAGGGACATCTCATCTGCAGGGATATTTCTGAGAGAGACTGGCACAGAAACCCTGGCCTGTGAGCAGTGCTTTCTCTCCACTGACCTCAGTTTTAGGTGCCTCCTGGTGCATGTCTGAGAGGAGCTGGAATGGACACCTGCTCCCTGGAGTGGTGTCTCTGCCATTAGGCCCTGCATGCCAGGCAATGTGGTGGTCCTGTCTCACATCACAGAAAGGTTTCATGCCACACTAATCATTGTTTCTGACCTCTCTGTGACTCTCTTGCAGAAAACATATGCACAGGGGGTTGCACAGGTGGGCAAAATTGCCAATGGATTACAGACACCTAGACATTTGAAAACTGACATTTTGACCTCTTTCACAAACAGGCATTTTTCTGTGGGTTACACAGCCCTTACTTTTAGAAAATTGATGCTAGCCTGAAGTATATTATAGTAATTATTTGTGAAATAATAATAGCATATTAATGACATGCACATTACTGATCTAGGAATCCAGCATGCCCATAACAATTCCTGTACTTTTAATGTCAACATTAAAAGCAACTTCTAACTAACAGTGATGAGGCAAATTAGCATTAATAACAGTTTTGACACTAATAGTGTTATCATTTTTTTAAAAGTCTTTCCTGTTGCCAAGGCTCAAACTGATTTTAAAAAACCTACACCACCTCTCAGCTTGCTGTCACTGATGCTTTTCCTACAACACTATGAAGAGATTTCATTCCTCTTGTTCTTAGCAAAGGTCCCTGTGATTGCACCAGACTTACTCTGGCCAAACACTTACTCAGGAATTAAGAGCTTCAATTTGGTAAAAGGTTTTGTCAGCAAAGGTTTTAAAAATGCCATTTGCATGCACTGTTGAGTGAGTAGAGCTAGGAAATAGGATCAATGCTTTTGAATTCTTTTCCTCTCTCTGTACAGCTAAACTCATCTCACCTCCTGTGGGTTTCACATACTCTGCTAGCATCAGCTTTATTTATTCAGCACATATGGCCAAAGGACCATCCCACAAGGGAAACACACCAAGCTCCATGGGCAACAACTCAAAGAGGAAGTTTCATGTGGATGTGGACAATGCAGGTAAATGTGGGCATTTCATCTGAAGAATTGCCTTCTTGCCCTCCCCCAAGAACATGACAGTGTCAATGAACAAACTGCTACATAAGCTCGCTGCTCGTGTGGCTGGGGCCTGTGTTGTTCAGCGATCACTGCCTTTGTGTGGACAGAAGTAGCTGTATGATGACAGTCTCTGTTCTGAAGCCTTCACAGCCTAATTTTGGGGTTTTCTCAACTGAGTGGTAATCAACATGGCAAGTCAGTGCAAAGAGAACTCCAGTAAAAGGCAGGCACTGCATGACTTGGTAGCACTGAATTGTGACACAGCACTGATGTGTGTGCTTTTAATTCACAAAAGCTTTGTGATTCTTCCTATGTGCTTGTTTATAAACAAAATACCTGCTGAGTTCCTTCCAACAGAAGGTGCCTTTTTCACTCAAGAGTTTGCAACCAGAGCAGTGTCTCTGAGATCGTGCCTGCACTGGAGAGTCTAGGCTTTCATCCAAACACAGACAAAGTCTACATTCAATTTAAGCTTTCTTACTGGTTTCAATGCACCCATACAAGCAAACAAAGCTTCCTGAGGTTTGGCAAGCTATCAGAACTGACAGAAGGGGGTGGGGCAGGACTCTTTTGGGGCTCTTTAGTGTCACTAGCTCACTACTCAGTGCATGAGTTTGGTTTGAGCAGGTTTCTCTCCAGAAAGATGCTGTTGCAAATTCTGAACTGCCTTTCCAAGGCATTTGAAGACCTTTAGCAAATGGCTCTGTGAAGCCAGCACATACCAAGGAGAGCTTTCCAGTCCCACCTGAACCTTCCCTGCTGTCCATTAGATGAGCCTGAACTTGACAAATAAAATAATTTCCTGTAACTTTATGTGAGTAATTTTTAAAGTTAGAAAATTATAATCTTCTCCTGCTGCATACAGACCAGGAAGAGAAGTACTGAAAATCTTTGCAATGGTCCTGTTGTTCCTCACTACCTCCAGTGTAGGTTGTCAGAGTAGTTGCATTTAATGCTAACAGGACAACAGACTGTATTGGCCTGTTTGCTTGTGTGGTGCTGTGATGCAGCTCTGCTGAATACACTATTATGTTCATCATCACACCTTCACAAAATACAGATACCCCAAACAAGCAACGGCCAGAAGCAGCAAATCCTGCTGTAGCAGTATTGGTATGCATTAATGGCTTCAGCAGCCAGGTTTGCCATTACCCTGCTGTGCTGACTTTTGAGACAAAGAGCAGCAAATGTATCTGCTCTTCACCTGTGTTAGAGAGGAGAAATAAAAACACTCAGACTTCCTGGAATGGCAGAATACCTACCCAAGCTCCATCAGGTCCAAACAGCTCTAAAAAGTTGCCAATAAATTCCCTGGACTTCTCTTCCCATTTCTGAATGAGGTCATGGCTCTTCTCTTCCACCTTGTAAACAAATTCTTTTGACTTTTCCTCCACATTCTTGACTTTTTCTTTCATTTTGTCCACTTGGTTTTGAAAGCGGTATTTCTTCTCCTGTTTTAAAAGTGTGGTCAAAGATTAATAAAAAAACTTGGAAATAATTAGCCACAGACAGTTAAGAAGAAAAAGAATTGCATTAATGCATCCTAATACATACGGCCTTGGTTAGCTATTCTCACATTATTTTTATAAATGCAAGTTTAGCATTTGTGGAATGAAGTGCAGAAGGTACATATTGAAAAGATTTATTGTGTGATTACTGTGTTTAATCCACTTTATGAATCTTTCTGTATTTTCAAACTGAATACACTTTGATATGAATCTTGTGAAGGATACGTGAAATTAACAGGTCAAACTTCAGAGTCAGCGAAAGGTAAATCTCCCTATGTTTCCTGGCAAATGCTGCTGACTTGCCAGCCTGGATGTTAACTTGGGCTGAAATAAGGAAGGCTGTGCTCTTGAAGGTGTGGTGGTCTGTGTAGAAGCACACATCACTACTGACTTTTAATTTTCTGTTAATTTAATGGCCATTTGAATTTATTTTAAAAACAAGCACTGAAGTGGGGTTTATTCTAACTCACAAATCACTAAAAGAACCATCTTTGCAAGCCACAAGCACAAAGAAAATCCCCAAGGTCCAAAGAAACCCAACTTCTTCTGTACCTAAAGAGTGATCATCCCTTTGGCTGATGAGGAATGAGGAAACCAGTGTTCTTCTACAAGCAAGACCAGTGCTTTTGTGAAATCCTGGGGATTTCATTTTGAGACAAACAGTCTGTAGTGCAAATCAGTATTTCGGCATTTAAATTACTGTAAGCTAAACAATCATGTCAGGTGTTTCTTCAGGAGACATCAGTGTCTGAGATGGGAGCAAGCATAACTTATGCAACAGTATCTTAACCTCACAGCTGCTAAAGGATAAATTTGAGAATCTCCAAGGCATCCAGCATGCCTTATTTTAATGGATATTTGCAATAGTGATCCTTCTGAGTGGAACACTTACAAGCATGATTCTTTAAAGGTGTAGAAGACTTCTAAAAAATCACAGTGAAATAATTATTTAATGCCCTGTGATCTGGGGTTTATCTGCCAGACTTCAAAAAATTAAAGAGATAAACTCCATCGAAATGACACAATTCAGTCCTTCACAAGGGGGTTTCCAAGCTCCAGGGAGGGAGGTGAGAAGTCCCATTGTGAGCCATCTCAGTCACAAGAGAGATTTCAGTTATGTAGGTTATCTTGAGGTTTTAAGTCAAGACTTGAAACAGAAAATGAAGGAAGGTAAAGTCTAATTTCCATAAAGTGTTTAATTCTCCTTGGAGGGGCAGGTATGTATGTAGAAGATGAATAATCTGAGCCATCCTTTCACATGGCTCTCCTGCTATTGTGGTTTCTGAGCTCTACAGCAGCATCTTTTATGTACCAGCTTCCTAGCATACTTCACTGTCTTCTGAAAACCATTTCAGCTCTCCCTAGTAATCTCACTGCTCTGTGATTTGCTTTGTTAGGGTTTTCTTGGTTTTCTGTTTTGTTGTTTTTTTAATCCTATCACACTGTAGAGAAACTTTGGATCTTAAAATCCATGCTCTCTGGGCTGCCTTCTTGGAATAAGAATATAGAAAGAAATCATGTGTTGGGTGAATGGCTGAGCAGCTCCTGGTGGAAGTGTATGCTCCTTCCTAGTGTATCATTGTCACCTACAGCTCAAGGAGGAATAAGCAGCAGATTTGTTAAAAGTGTAAGATGGAAACAAAGCTGCTAATTAATAGGAGCAACTAAAACTACCCTCAACTTACCAGTGTCTTTTAAATTAAGTTCTTTCCAGCTATTTTAAAAGCAGCAGGAGGAAGATGTAATTTCTTAACCTTTACTTTACATTCAGGATGCTAGGAGAGTGTTTGAGGGGCAAACGTGGATCACTGCACTCACATTTATGAAACTGACATTCAGCTCCTTGGCGGTGTACCCTCGCTGGAGGTTGCGCCGGGCGTACACATCATAGTCCCGGACGATCCGAGTGATGATGTCCGACGTGGAGATACCTTCGGTTCTCTGAGTAGGTACAAACATTCCTGAGCAGTGGGAAAAGAAAGCCTGCTGAAAAAACTTGGCAGGACCAGGCACTGTGGCAGATAGCTGAGAATGAACACCAAAATGCCTGACAAGGGCAAGAGGCTTGCAATTCTACCATATTCCTAGCTCTCTCCTGTTATTTCTGTTTGAGTTTTTCTCAAGTCTTTAGAAAGACTAAAAATTGCCCTCTGTACAGTGTCAGCTGTGAGGTGGAAGTTACCAGACTGGCAGAGGCTCCCAAGCCAGGAAAGCCAAGCTTCACAGCTGTGGCCAATTCACTGAGCAGTTCTTTCCATAAGCACAGCCCTTATTTATTGTTATATAAAGGAGCAGGGAGGTCTGCTGCTCTCCTTTATTTCCACTTCTGTGCAGCACCATCTGACAGTCTGTTCTGCTGAGGAGAACAGCCAGCCTCTGCCTTGACAAAAGCCAGGAAAAAGATGCATTACAGTAACTGGAAAACACCCTGGAGGTGCCAGTGGTTTGTAACAGGAAGATGAAGTGTAATGGTAGTGTTTCATGTCCATCGAGCCATGCACGTGGCTGCATAACCATCCTCCCTGCTCTGACAAATCAGTCCCAAAGAAAACTGGCCATTTATCAATACTGCTCTTATCTTCCTCAACACAACTGAGAGATATGTGGCTTTCTAACTGCTCCCCACCAAAGCAGGAGCACCTGAACTGTTAATGCAATTCACAAATGCAATAGTAGCAGAGTGCAGGCGCACCTTGGTTTAGTAGTTATTTAGAGCTACAAAAAAATTGCTACTCTCACTTATATGTAATTGCAATGTGAAGCTGCTGATGAAAGAGCGAGAGAACATGGAGATGGTCTAGGAAAAAGAAGTAGTGCTTTGTCTTAAAATGGTGTTATAGTTCCTGACAAATTAATCCTCACACATTCACTTAAAGTAAGCGGCATTTTCCAACTCGATTTTATTGGGTTGGAAAAAGACTCAGAGAAGGAATCAAGAAGCTTAGCAGCCTCTTGTGACTAAATGCTATGTGATATATTTTCCTTCTGATCTCTAATTAATACTCTGCTAAAAAAATAGATTACTTTAATCATGAGCAGACATGTTTCCCTGACTGTTGCTTTTCAGGCTTGCACCAGTCACTCAGGAAACTATTTTTGGAAGCAATGAAACACACTTGGAGCCAGAAACCTTTATAGATAAGAGTTACAAGAATACATGGACAAAATCCAAACCCCACCTTTGTTAAGCTGAAAGTGGAACTGTAGGTGGACATTACCCTCAGCTGCTGACTTTGCTTACATCTGCTTCATGTGTTGGACTGATGCATGTTTTCCAAGCTAATTGTTCAGACGTGCCCAGTTTCAGTCACTGCACTGTCACCCAGCTCACCACTGCCCATACACCCTCCTATCCACTGAAGGCAGTGGGGAATTGGGAGCCCATGAGAATCTACCCAAGGAACTCTCTGGTTCCCATCCACTTTTCTGCTCTCCAACAACCTGATGTGGGAAAATGGGAGTACTGGAACTATGGAAAAGAAGTGCAAATGCATCAATAGCCCTGGTTTATTTAAAACACAACACCTAGGAGAAAGGGGAAATTAATTATTGTAACAATGCTGCTCTGGAGCATTAGGGACTATTACAGGGACTGTTACTCAAAACTCATCACAAGTAAGTTAACATTATTCCCAGTTTATACTCAGCAAAATTCAGCCATACAGGACTCAAGATGCTTCTCTGGTATCTTGTGGTGCCAGACACAATGGACCACAAGTCCCTGAAGCTGAAGGTCCGTAGTCTCTTCTGCAAAGTTTGAGTTTCTCATCAGGTTGTGTGTGCACCATGCCTGAGCTCAAGGACAGCAGAGAAGGGTGTGCCAAGTTTGGGTGCTCTCACACCAAGTCTGGTAATGATCCAGTGACACCAAGAGCTCCTGTCATGCTGTCCTGTGTACTCAGCACCTTACAGAAGAAAAGCAAAATAGCTGCCTGTTCAGCATGTGTGTAGTATGTCCCTTGGTGACCCATTCTTACCAGAGGGGCCTTTTTTCACTGCCCACTGAAGGAAGCTGGCTCTGAATCTATACAACAGTCATTCCCAAAGGAAGGTTTTGAGTCTGATACCACAGGGAGGTTCACAATAGAAAAAGAGCAAGAACTGCTGCTATAAAAAGCTTATTCCTTCAGGTCAATACCTGGTCTATAGCTGTCATTGTACAGTTTGAGAAGGTCACTTTGCATGGCATATAACCATCAGGCAGATTGCTCTGGAATTTTTTCAAGCCTCCAATATACATGTCTATGCAGAACAGAGAGGCTGGATTTGGCAGGGTTCAAAGCAGCATCTGTAGGGAGCAGTAGAAGAAGGATACGATTTGTTCCTCCTGCATCCACTGTTCACTTTGTTAGGATAGCTACTACTGGCAAAGAGTGGCTTAATGTTATCTCCTCAAATTTAATTCATCTTCCTTGAACCGAAGAGACACAAATTCCTGATGACTTTAGCACCTTCATGTTCAATGTAATATGGACACTGAACAGTCAATATTACAATATGGACAGTCAACCAAACTGCTAAATGGTCACGGGAACTGAATTACTCTGATACTGATTTAAACCCCCAGTGCAAGTGGATCCTAATGGCTCCTGAAGGTTGCCTGTGCTTGCTCATATTAAGGACTGGGATGTGATGTGTCAAGGAGGTGTCAGTTTGTGGTTATCAAAAACTGACTAAAGCTGGCTGGGCTGCTGTGGGAACTGAACTCATTTTCATCCATTCAAAATTCTTAGTCAAGCATTATAAAACTGTTTTAAAAATGCAGATGGGTCTATTTTGTGCTAGATCTGAATGGTTTCCTTGGGGTTATGGCAGGAATTCAGCCAAGGATGTCCTTTGAGGTTTTCTTTCTGTTCAAGTCAGCAGTACCTACCGTTAGGGTGTAAGACAATGTGACACTACCTCTGCTGCTTCTCTCCCAGCAGTTCTGGTTAAAAGGCAGTAAAAGAATTTGAGCTGAGGCTGAAAAGGAAGGTGCTAAAAAATGTAAAGGTGCCCTTACCTGCTTCCTTTATGTGTTTGTATACGTCATCCGAGCCAGCGGAAGAGTACGGGATGTCATCATGTGCTACAAAGTCAATCTGACAGTGAACAGAAGAATCACATCACCATCACCAAGTTGTGGTTCACTGGGGGATTGTTATAGAGAGTCATCTCTTTTCTTGACTTCAGCTAACTTGCTTTATATTCTCATTCTAAAGCCGTCACCTACTACTAGTACTGTACTAGATTTGGACCTGCAACTGCTGTGTTGTATGATCAATTACAAAAAACCAGAAATCTTCTCTCCAAAAGCACTGCCACTACCACATCACTCTGATGGGCTCAGTGTGAGATGCAGTACAAAACCCAAGACACAGGCTCCTGCTTTTATTCCTACTGCAAAAGCAAGTGGTGAAACCTTGGCTTTCAAAATCATGGAGGCAAGAGAATTGATTTTGGGTCCTTAGTGCTGTGCATATATATAGGTATATCTAGTACTGTCATGCTGTCCTTTTGTCACCTGGTGATGTAGACACTAAAATACATCCTACTTTATTATGCTTTTGTTAAGATTCATATGTGTTGCAAGGCAATCAATAGCATGTAAAACACTCAATCTTGCCTTTTAGAAGGCACACAGTATTTTTACATATTGCACCTGCTGCCATTAGTAAGAAACACGCATTTAATTCAGGACTTCAGTCACTAGGTGACAGCTTTCCTGGTTTACCATCTCCTTTTCTGAAAGTCAATTTATCAATAATTTTTTCAGTGTTATTTTACTTTTCAAAAATCTCAGTAGAGAAATCATCTCAGTATATTGAGAAAAAAAGGCAAAATAAATATAACGTTTTCTGACAGAGATGGAGGCAAGGAATGCTACATACCTAATTTAAGTGACTGGAATTAATTAAGCAAAATCATTTGCTCCACCTAACAGGATTTCAGACTTGCTCATTCTCAATTGTCAGTTACAAAGGGGAAGGGAGAGATAAGGGAACAAATGTACCTTATGTTTTTCAAGGAACTCAGGTGTCAGTGTCCAGGGTGCATCTCTGATGACCTCATCCACATAACGACAGTGTCTGAGGGCTTCATATCGCTCAGTTTCATTCATCACAGTGAAGCCTTTGAATTTATGAGTTAAATCATCACTGCAAACTAAAATATAGAAGTATGAGCAAAATGGCTCCATATTCAGTAAGATTAGATTGACCAGGAGTTGATTATACTAGGTAAATCCATTAAGCACTTAGTTATTAGCTTAGCAATCTTTGGGGTGTTCCAGGGCATCTAAGAGTTCTGCTTGGAGTTGGCAGATACAACTGTGAAATAATGACAGAACCTTCTCTTTCTGGAGCTGCAGCCAGAGGCCAAGTATGGTATTTTAAGACACTTCAGGTGGTATCCTTTACATGCTAAGGTAAACCAATCCCACTCTTAAGTGGGGATTTCATGGGCTGTGATATTTCAGGGGTGATGGCCAATGCTTTAAAACCAATCAAAGAACACAGAGTGGACAATCACAGCATGCTCACTAACTTCAGGTATCACAAAATGAGGCACAAAAAATACTTGATGTTGCCTAATCCAAACCTCCTCCTCCCAGCAGAGTCAACTGCAGGTTGTTCAGGGCCATGCCCAGTTGATTTCCAAAGATGGAGACCCCTCAGCCTTTCTGGGCCTCCACTTCCTGCTTTTTATTTTTATGTAAACAACACTCTAAAAGGTAAATTTGCTAACAAAGCTCAAAATCACAGTGGGATAGTTTCGCATTAAATAAATCCTGATGGAAAACAAGTCATATAAAACTTTATAGGAATCTGTGTCTGAGCTTAGCTTTGAGTTCACAGAAAGAAGAGTAAGACTTGTGCCACGTTCAAATGGAAAACTGCTGAAGGAAGCTGCAAGGAAAGGACTGGGAGAAGCCATATGCTCTATGAAATGAGCAGAGCTAAAGGTCCAGAAATCCTGCATCTTTAACTCTGGATGCAGTAATACTTTGTCACATCGCTTTTAAAATGAGGAGCAGCAACACCCGCATTACCAGAGGACTGTAAAAGTTAGGTATTATCTTTCTACCCACATAACATTGTGTAAAAACCAATGACCTTCCCCACAACCATCTCTGTTCAACATTACAGCTACAACAGTCATTTGACACCCCACATGGAATAATGTGATACCCATTTATAGCTGGGTTGCCAGTGGTTGTCCTTCACCACAGGTCAAACCTGTGCCTTTGGATCTTTGTCTGTAAATGTACTTGACAAATGATAAATGCAGCATTCCCAGTGCTGCAGTGAAGTGTGAGAGCAGCCCTACACTTGCTGCTTCTTTCTAATTTGAAAACATCAACCTATCAGGCAAGGTGCTGGCAAAGATGCAGTCTTTTCTGAGATCTGAAATGGATGTTCTTGCTGTGGTAGTCATTAAGGACTTTTAAAGTAGGAAAAATGTAGAAAGGCTTAGATAGCTCTAAAGCTTGTGCAAAATTCAAAGCCAGATAATAACATACATATGAATTCCAGCAAGCAAAATGCTACTCTGTCCTATTATGTCAGGTTTGATGCCTGCTGACATGAAATTTAATGGTGATCAAAGCATTTCCAGGAGAAAGATCCCTTCAGGGAATATATTTGTATTTATTTACAGCCTTTATGGCATCTTTAGGCTACCCTCTCCTGGAAGAAAAGGTCTACCAAAATTATTGGAAAATAGTAATTTTTGCTTGAATTCTGAAAAAAGGTTTGATTTTATTTTCTGATTACTATTTGTTCATGCACAATGCAGACACAATATCTTTCTTTGTACTTCTTTTGAATCTGTCATCCTTCTTAATAACTGATTTGGAAACGTATAAGTGTCCATTTTAAAAGGAAAAGTGATCTTAGGTCCAAATAATTGTCTTCACAAGAAGAAATAGAAGGGGTTGCTTGTGATGTCCACAAAGACATAGGACACCGGTGCTTTTGCAGCACAAATTGTATGTGGGTGTGGGAAGGTGTCCGTTTTTTGAACACACTAACACACAGTGCTTTGCTGGGAGAAGGTGCTGATGAGTGCTGGCTGCTTTGTCCTTCATGCCAAAAATAAGGGCAAAATGAAGCTATGCCATGAATTTCAAAGGATCCAGGCTTTTGCCCCAAAGCTCCTTCCCTTATCTGGGGCAACCCCATATCCTTTAAAAACAACAACAAAATGTACATAACTTGGATTTTTTTTTTTAAACCCCACAGTCTTGCGCCTCCACTTGCTTCTTCTGCAAGTTGTCTGGCTCAGCAGGAAACCAAATGTTTCCTTTCTTAATGTTTCCCTCCTAACAAAGGGACTTATCCTTTACCTCACAGGAAGCTCCATGGGAAATTAAAACTAAAATACATGTTTATAAAGAAATTTTGGTTTTTCCTCTGTGTTGGGTCTTCTCGCCCCCACCCCCGCAACTATTTGGGACAAATATGCAAAATAATGCACCTTATGGTACCTGAAGGTTGCACTCATGTTCACTGTAAAGCATTTGAGCAGCTGAATGAAGGTTGCTGTGAAATGTTGCTGCGAGGAATATCTCAACCCTGGAGGTGCAAGGAAAATGGAACCAAACTGCACATTTATGAGGCTTCATGACAGCAGGGCTTGCACAGCCAGCTAGGTAGGAAAGAGCCACCCTCCAGTGACTCCTCAGGCACAGGCCAACTGCTGAACAACTGTTAGCCAGGCCCATACCAAGAAAAGAATATATTCTTAGGAAAAAGAAAAGATAATTAAGAAAGTAACCTGCCTGGGGACACCTGTGAACTGAAATTACATTCCACTCATGACCTACATTTGCATCTTCAATGACAACGGGCCAGACTTAGCTTCTGTGATGATGCTGAAAGCTGGGTCTAGACCTGGCAGGCAGAGGTCATGGTCTGTGCCTAGCTGGCAAAGGGACCAATGAGCCAGAAACAAATAATGGTTGCTCTCATTCACTCATCTCAATCTTTGAACAATTTTGAGCAAATAACTGAAAAAAGTAAATTATTCATATGGAGCTATTTTAAGCTCAGAGCCATGCAGGCACCTGCTTTAACTAGAATGGGAATTGTGCCTGTGCTGCTGAGGGCAGAATTTGACTTTTACTTTAATTGATGCAATTGTAAGATGTAATTCAAGGCAAATCACCTATAGAAAGCCCCTGAGTGGAAGCAGCATTCAAGTCATAGTGTATAAACAGCTGGGGGTGGGAGAACAGCAATAACTTTCTGATAGTGAAGCACAGAAGCAAAAATCCACAGAAGCAAAAATAACTCTGATCTTACCTCCTACTAATAAGTAGCTATTTGGGAATAGAGTTTTGGCTTGCATAAGAGCTCTAGCATGGCCAGCGTGAAAGAGGTCAAATATTCCATCTGCATACACTCTGACAGGTCTGTCAACTGTGGAGAAAGAAACACAACAGTGATTTTTCAGATCCCAAACAAGTTGCACTTAATTCTGCTGGATGGCATTTTGTTCCCAGATCACGATTGCAGAGATTTACCTCAGTGCTGATATTCAAAAGCCCCACAGGTAAACCTGCAGTTTTTGATACTGCACATTACTTGTTCTTTGTACTTTCTGCTGTTTTCTCTCAGATTTACCTTATTTATTATCATCCATCATCCCCATATTCTAATTTAGCAAAAATGTCATCTTCCTGCCTCATTCAGAGTTCCACCATATGTCTTGTTCTTTTCTCTCTGCCTTTCTAATCAGATATGCCTTATGGATTTTTCCCATCACTTCCCTTTCCTCCCCTCTTGCCTTGACTTTTCCACAGCTTATTGCTGTAAAAATCAACTGCTTACCTCTTCTATGCAAACCTTTTACTTCACTTTTTCCAGACTTTCCCCAAGTTCTTCTGTCTAATGAGCTTACAACTTCTTCTCATGCTATCACCCTTATAACTCTCTGTACAGCACCTTCAGCAGCAGCCTCCAGACTGATAAAGAACTTGCTTTCTCAAATTACATGCTTTGCCACCTCCAAGCAAAAGCACAGTGGAGATGAAAGCAACAGAGCTCAAATCTACATGGACTGTGTTACTGTGTTTCAGTGAAGCAGAGAGATGTTTCTGCAGTCAGGACATCCAAGGGTCCATGGGAGAACACTGTTCCTTGCACAGCTGACTGGAAAGCTGAAGCTTGCTCCTGTAATGTGTACATCTTTAAAAGCTTATTTTAAATAAGCAGAGTAAGTAAACAGAGCCTTTAAAAAAATAACCTCTTGAAATATGGGGGGGGGGAGGCTGAAGGATGCATTTGGAACTCCTCCTGCTTCCCCAGTCCAATCACAGATGCCCAGATAAAGAAGTTGGCAAGTAACCTTTAAGGTCACTGGAAGGTCTGATGCAATCATCAGGAACACCAGAGAAAGAAGAATTTTCCAGAGATGAGAATCCAGAAGGTAGCTACTACATAACACAATTTTCAGGCTGGCTGGAGTGGGCTAGCAAGTGTTCCTTCCAACCAACATCCACAAATAAATCAAACTTTCTAACTTGAAATGCTTTCTCTTGTTTCTCTAAGAGAACGTAATGGCTCTGTAGTTGCTGGCTTCTTCTCCATTACCTGATAGTACTAGACATTAGGCTTTTGCTTTTGCGTAGAAGGCCCAAATGAGCAATAATTGATGTCTGTATGGAAGAAGCTTTGGGAGTGCCCATGATCCTGTGGATGTAGCTCTCTCCACATACCTGGTGTTCCCAGGCGGGCTTGTGCAATGGTTAACTTCTCATGGGGTGCTTGGCACTGACAGCTTGTTTCATCTGCGAATGGAGCAGGTGCCGTCAGTGTCTGGAAGGAGGAAAAAGCACAAAGAAAGTAAATTTATTTTCACCACCAAGTAGTTATAAAAGAACCTTTTAATTGTGGCAGAATGCTGTAACCAGCCTTCATGCCGGTTTGCTCTCTGGGGATTTTTGCTTTTTGGTCACCCCTGAGCACACGCAATTCACTCAAGGTAGGATGGTGAGGAAAATAAAGCTTTCTAAACATGTCATGTAACTGAATTCTTTGTCTCTGTTAGAGAAGCTTGGTCATCTTTGAGGTGGGTGAAGGCACACCATTTTTTTGTTTGCAGAACAAAGTCAGGTTGGATGGTGTGAAGATTAATGAGCTTGATGAGCTTAATATTTCTCAGTGACTCTGAAGGCCCAAGGAAAAATGTATTCTGTTACCTGTAAGTAACAGCTGGAAAAACTACTTGGGATGTAGACGTAGAAAGCTGCAAATGAGCCACCTCTTAACAAGAACCCTTTCCTGCCACTGGCATCAGTACAAACAATTGTTTTGTTGTGGTCTTAGTCAGAATCTCCTATAAATTTGAGGAGCCATTCAAAATAAAGGCAAGGATGAAACCTTAAGTCCCATTTAACAAGAACTGACTGAGCTGCAATTCCTTTCTGGTCTGACATACTCTGTAATAGTACTAAAACACTAACTGTGATCAGAGCTCCACAAGGGTACTTGCTCTGAGGAGCTTACAACCTAAAGATAATGAGACAGTGTGAGGATGTGTGAAGACTGACGTGGCATTATCTGTGAGGAAACTTGATTACTGAATTTGTATTTTCTGCCCCTGAGTATGTAGGAAGTTATCAGTCATCAGATCCTCAGATATTTATTATCTGCCCTATAGTCTGATAGGAAAAAAAAAATAAACCAGTTCCTACAGCTTTTGGCTTGAAATCTTTACAAAAACATAGCTGAGTATTAAGTTTGCTTTGGTTTTGAGAAGAAGTGATGGTTGATAAAAGCTGCAGGAAATCTGTCACTTTGCCTCCCCCATGATTTAACTGGAAGTTCATGGCTGTGCAGCTGTGGCTTGGTTGGGTTTTAACAGTGACCATTTGATGTACAGTTGTCACAACAGCTTGAGCTCCCATGGATGATCACTACAGCATCAATTTTTGCCTTTACACTGTTTTTTCAGATTTTTGATGCTGAATGATTAATCACTGAGCATTTAGCATTCTTTAGCATCTCTGAGAGACTTTAGAGCATGTCATGTCTAACTGCTGCTGATCTCTGAGATTACTGGTTTGTTGCATGGAAAGCTCAGAAGACAGTAGTAAAACAACAACAAAGACTTAACAATCCAGATCCAGTTATTTCTGCTGATTTGCTACTCATTTTGTTTACTGCAAGTAATGCAATTTTATGTAGGTTTCCTTTTTTCCCCTTTCCATTTTTCTTCCCTTATTTTTTCCCATTCTCTCAAATGTTAAAGGGAATCATCATCATTAGTATGTTCATGTTGAAAATCACAGCATATCTGCACAGACAAGGTTAAAAATGGAGAAACTATATACCAAGCCCAAGTTTCTGTCTGGGTTTCATGGAGGGGAACTGTTCATCAGGCCACCCACGCTGCACAGTGTAGAACATTACACATAATCATACAGTGCCAGCTCTTTCCTTTATTTTCTAAATACTGTCTTTTTGCTTCTGGCTTTGCTATTGCTGGGTGCTAATCTGTCTTTTTATCTCCAAGGAAGGTCAAGTTACACGGCAGCCCATACAGCCTGGTTCCTGCTGAGATAAAGAGGAAGGCAGAAATGTTAAAACAATAATGGCTATGGTCTGAGGCCTGCAACTGGTAATCAGCTCCTAGCTTGGCAGAGGTTGTTTCCTTGAAGGTTATTTGAAGAAAATAGGCCTGGTTTGCAGGAAGATACCTCTTTTTCCCCCCAGGCAAACACAGTGGTGCTTTTCATCCATGTAACCACCTTTGCAACACTGAGATTTTTCTTTCAGTCTCTGCTCAATGAAGAACAATCTCTATTAACTTCCCATCAGTCCAGCTTTTATAAAGATTTGTCATTAAAGCTCACTTTACAGATCAGGGCCTAGAACCAGATCTGTCAATATTCCGTTTACTCTCTGACCTCACAGTTACTGGATATGAAAATACATCAAATGCAATACATTAAAATCAGACATATTCTGTCAAAACCAAACAGAGAAAAGCATAAACACCATGTGCTGACAGATGAAAGCTATACCAATAGCTTCCAAATGACTACTCACTACTATTTTATCTGTCCTAGAAAAATTATTGCTAAGCTTAACAAAAACATGAGTAAAATGAGACCATTTGGTTTGTATATAAGCCTGTAAGAGAAAATATTTCAAGAAATTATTAAAACCCAGAAATAATTTATCAAACCTTTTCAGCTTATATATAATTACTTGTATTATTTCCAGTTTCTTCATGGTAATAATTAGAATTGTGAGAAAACAGCAAGTAATTTATATAGCAGCTTTTTCATTTTGGTTAATCCATTAAAGTTCTTCTGGAAGTTTGCTATAGTTTTGACAATAATCAGATGTCAGACAAAGACTTTGTACTTCTATCTTTTTCTGATAGATATTTCCCTTCATCTCTGCCTTCCTTATTTTCTAGGCATTTACATTTTGCAATTAATCAAGTAAAATTAGCCTTGTATTTTGGACCAATGTAAGCTCCTGAGACCTGCACCATCCTGTAGTAATATGGGACAGAAAGCTTATCACATGTCACAAATGGAAAAGCCATTGCAATACTAGGACTTATTAATGATATTTACTTCAGAAGACAACAATAAGCCCTTGCAGAAAGAGTCCTGTTTCCTGGAAATGAAGACACAGCATTCAGTAAAATGAAGGTATGAAAAACCATCATATTTAGTAACCCTTGCGTATTAGAAGCTGTTCATTCCACGAGAAGTTTAAATAGTGTCTTGCTTTCTAGGAAATTTGCAAAAGAACTGAATGATGTTCAATAAGGTGGATAATGGGGCTTTCCCAGCAAGTACCTCACAGCTCCATATGCACCAGCAATGTCTTCGTAACCCACAGCCCCATTTGTGAGACAGTAGCCCAGAGAAGAAAGCACAGTGTGGTTGGCAGCTGAGCTGGTTCTGGGGCCAGGACACTTCACTAAGAAATGCTACATGACAGCTCTTAGCATTTCATTTTCAGGCATATCGTGACGCTGCCTTTTTATTATAGGTCTTCACCGCCTCTTAGGCTACTGTAGACATTTAACTTAGCTCCTAGGCATAAGATAAACACTCATGCTTGTGTTTCTAATGATTAAAAGGAAAGCTCTTGGTGATTGGTAGAGGAAGAGGAGTCAGTCCTACCACTGAAACAACAGGTCAAGAACACAAGCACCACCACGCCCTCTCTTTTGATTACAGCCTGTTGTGCTATTGCTTGCTTCTGTCTGTTTGGTAGTTGGGCTGGGTTTTTTACACAGAAGCAAGGACGGCAGAAACATTCCTTTAAGGAGGCAAATGTAGACCCATTCAAGCCATAGTGCGCCTGCCTTTATAACTGCCTGCAGGGTGACTGTAGAAAACACAGCTAATAGAAGGAGCTACTGCTTTTTTTTTAATTCATGCAACTACAAAACCTTCTCTCCTGTTCTTGGTAAAATTGTACTGTCATCTAAGATTTTGCCATCAACAAAGGTCAATGAAATTTCAGATTATATACCAGTACAGCTACAGAGGCAATACTTGATAAAGCAGGCTGGGCCTGTGCTTATGAAAGAATTAAATTGGCAGGGAAATTCTGTGGGAGGTCTGATGCTGTAACCACCTTTTGTCTTGGAGGCAGTATTTAAAACAGATAAGTGATTTCACTGCAACAAATCACGTGGGTAAGGTCTACTCATATGAGTAACAATTATTTTGGGAATCTACTCCTGATGTTGGGAAACAATAATTACAGAGCAGGAAACACTGACATCAGTTTCAAGGAATATTTAAGAAAAAGCCCTATCAAAACTATTGAAAAGTAAGCATGTGCCAAGTTCTCAGGTATGAACACTTTTTTTAAGTGGAAAAGCCATGTTATGCACTACCAAGGTCTTCTCTTAGAGGTTAAGGGAACAAACATTGTCAAAATGGAAAACCACGTGGTCCCTACCTGTTCGGGTCAGCAACCTTGACTCAAACAGATCAATTTATGAGCATTTAAGATGTAACTGAAAGTTACTGGTGGTTGTCTCCTGGTAAACTTTTTACAAACAGTTCTAACATCAATGCCAGTATAACAAAAAGTCCTGTTCTCTCACAGTTGACTCACGATGACTAAGGAAGGTGGTAAACTAAAAATATGGCAAACTATAAGAACAATAACTTCAGCATTCTGTTTGCAAGCATTTCAAATTAACTTTGTCGCTCTTTCTGGGCTTTATCTTCAATCAAATATACTTTGCTCATCATTAGTATTAAGTAATTATTAAGTGCAAGATGGAATTACAAATTGAAGGCACTGCAGAAGAAAAGCAACTTCCACTGCCGTTTCAAGAAACATAATGATGTATATATGTAGAGATTCCTAGATTATGAAACTAGAATAACTTTTATGTAATCTAGTGTAATATTTGCAAAAGGCCAAAGAATTTTGTGACAAGATTCCTCCTGCATGACAGACATGACTTCTGACTGAACTGGAACACGTTATTTAGAAAATGAAATCATCCCTAGAGGTAGGACAGGCCCCAAGTCAAGCAGAGTTCAAGTGAAAGAGTTGCCAATGAAGCACCTCAACCTCCATGAACACCAGCCAGAAGTGAAATGTGACCCTTGGGAATTCATCCACCTGAGCCCACTCCCGTGGCTGGCATGGCCAGGAGGAGATGGAAAGAGCTCTGCATGCCAGTGATCCAGGCAGAACTCACTGGAAGAGCAAACTGCAGCAAGGCCACTGTGCAGCCCATGAGCCTGGATGTTTTCCTGTCCTGATGGCTACAGACAGGAAAGCTGTCAGACATCCCAGCACCAAGGAGGGATACACAGCAT